AAACAAATAACACACAAAGAATGAAATGTTGCCATGTTTTTATTGAACACACCATGTAAACATTCACAGTGCAGGTGGAAAATGTATGTGAACCCCTAGACTAATGACATCTCCAAGAGCTAATTGGAGTGAGATGTCAGCCAACTGGAATCCAATCAATGAGATGAGATTGGAGGTGTTGGTTACAGCTGCCCTGCCCTATAAAAAACACACACCAGTTCTGGGTTTGCTTTTCACAAGAAGCATTGCCTGATGTGAATGATGCCTCACACAAAAGAGCTCTCAGAAGACCTATGATTAAGAATTGTTGGCTTGCATAAAGCTGGAAAGGGTTATAAAAGTATCTCCAAAAGCCTTGCTGTTCATCAGTCCACAGTAAGACAAATTGTCTATAAATGGAGAAAGTTCAGCACTGCTGCTACTCTCCCTAGGAGTGGCCATCCTGTAAAGATGACTGCAAGAGCACAGTGCAGACTGCTCAATGAGGTGAAGAAGAATCTTAGAGTGTCAGCTAAAGACTTACAAAAGTCACTGGCAAATGCTAACATCCCTGTTAGCGAATCTACAATACGTAAAACACTAAGCAAGAATGGATTTCATGGGAGGATACCACAGAGGAAGCCACTGCTGTCCAAACAAAACATTGCTGCACGTTTACAGTTTGCACAAGAGCGCCTGGATGTTCCACAGCAGTACTGGCAAAATATTCTGTGGACAGATGAAACCAAAGTTGAGTTGTTTGGAAGAAACACACAACACTACAGGGAGTGCAGAATTATTAGGCAAGTTGTATTTTTGAGGATTAATTTTATTATTGAACAACAACCATGTTCTCAATGAACCCAAAAAACTCATTAATATCAAAGCTGAATATTTTTGGAAGTAGTTTTTAGTTTGTTTTTAGTTTTAGCTATGTTAGGGGGATATCTGTGTGTGCAGGTGACTATTACTGTGCATAATTATTAGGCAACTTAACAAAAAACAAATATATACCCATTTCAATTATTTATTATTACCAGTGAAACCAATATAACATCTCAACATTCACAAATATACATTTCTGACATTCAAAAACAAAACAAAACAAATCAGTGACCAATATAGCCACCTTTCTTTGCAAGGACACTCAAAAGCCTGCCATCCATGGATTCTGTCAGTGTTTTGATCTGTTCACCATCAACATTGCGTGCTGCAGCAACCACAGCCTCCCAGACACTGTTCAGAGATGTGTACTGTTTTCCCTCCTTGTAAATCTCACATTTGATGATGGACCACAGGTTCTCAATGGGGTTCAGATCAGGTGAACAAGGAGGCCATGTCATTAGATTTTCTTCTTTTATACCCTTTCTTGCCAGCCACGCTGTAGAGTACTTGGACGCGTGTGATGGAGCATTGTCCTGCATGAAAATCATGTTTTTCTTGAAGGATGCAGACTTCTTCCTGTACCACTGCTTGAAGAAGGTGACTTCCAGGAACTGGCAGTAGGACTGGGAGTTGAGCTTGACTCCATCCTCAACCCGAAAAGGCCCCACAAGCTCATCTTTGATGATACCAGCCCAAACCAGTACTCCACCTCCACCTTGCTGGCGCCTGAGTCGGACTGGAGCTCTCTGCCCTTTACCAATCCAGCCACGGGCCCATCCATCTGGCCCATCAAGACTCACTCTCATTTCATCAGTCCATAAACCTTAGAAAAATCAGTCTTGAGATATTTCTTGGCCCAGTCTTGACGTTTCAGCTTGTGTGTCTTGTTCAGTGGTGGTCGTCTTTCAGCCTTTCTTACCTTGGCCATGTCTCTGAGTATTGCACACCTTGTGCTTTTGGGCACTCCAGTGATGTTGCACTCCAGTGATGTTGCTCTGAAATATGGCCAAACTGGTGGCAAGTGGTATCGTGGCAGCTGCACGCTTGACTTTTCTCAGTTCATGGGCAGTTATTTTGCGCCTTGGTTTTTCCACACGCTTCTTGCGACCCTGTTGACTATTTTGAATGAAACGCTTGATTGTTCGATGATCACGCTTCAGAAGCTTTGTAATTTTAAGAGTGCTGCATCCCTCTGCAAGATATCTCACTATTTTTGACTTTTCTGAGCCTGTCAAGTCCTTCTTTTGACCCATTTTGCCAAAGGAAAGGAAGTTGCCCAATAATTATGCACACCTGATATAGGGTGTTGATGTCATTAGACCACACCCCTTCTCATTACAGAGATGCACATCACCTATTATGCTTAATTGGTAGTAGGCTTTCGAGCCTATACAGCTTGGAGTAAGACAACATGCATAAAGAGGATGATGTGGTCAAAATACTCATTTGCCTAATAATTCTGCACTCCCTGTATGTGTGGCGAAAAAAAGGCACAGCACACCAACATCAAAACCTCATCCCAACTGTGAAGTATGGTGGTGGGGGCATCATGGTTTGGGGCTGCTTTGCTGCATCAGGGCCTGGACGGATTGCTATCATCGAAAGAAAAATGAATTCCCAAGTTTATCAAGACATTTTGCAGGAGAACTTAAGGCCATCTGTCTAACAGCTGAAGCTCAACAGAAGATCATTGTTGCAACAGGACAATGACCCAAAGCATAGAAGTAAATCAACAGAATGACTTAAACAGAAGAAAATACGCCTTCTGAAGTGGCCCAGTCAGAGTCCTGACCTCAACTAAATTGAGATGCTGTGGCATGACCTCAAGAAAGCGATTCACACCAGACATCCCAAGATGCTTCCAGCAGCTCTAATGGTATTATAGAGATGCCTCGATGTTGAGGCATCTCTGCAATACCCCTCTCACTGCCGGTGGCCCTCGGAGAGCACTGGGTGATCTCTCCCCCCAAAGCGATCACTTCCGGGTTGCTCCACGTGGAGCCCAGCAGTGAGGCAGAGCATCGGAAGCCATCAGGCAGGCTTCTGATGCTCTGTCTGTACGGAGTGCCTTGAGGGGTCTAGGCACTCAATAAATGTAAATAGAAAATAATTTAAACATTTTTTTTTTTAAACTAACCCCTACCCTTTCTTCCTCTCCCTCCCTCCTCTCCCTCCACCATTCCCCGCCGGCGATCAGTCTTCTTAGGGGGAACTGTCTTGGTTCAGCTCAGACAGTCCCCCCTCTCCAATTTAGGAAACCCAGGGCCATGTGACCGGTCACATGGCCACCATAGGTGTCCATAGTGCTGCCAGCAGGGGGATTGGCTGAACTGACAGGCAGTTCCCCTGCAGGTGGAAAAAGTTAAAAAAAAGTTTTAAAAAAATAAAAATATAGTTAATAAATGTAAAAAAAAAAAATATATATATATATCTTATATATAACGTCATACTAAGTGTGTTTTTTAAATTAATATATACATATATTAATATAAAAATACACAGAGTAAAATTGCACAAGTATATATATAATAACTATAAATATATATGTGTATATATATATATATATAATATATATATATATAAAACAAAACAAAACTAATTCCTGCACTCCAACCCAAAATTGATAGTACCTGGTGCTCTGGTTGCAATATAGATATATCCAAAAAATTACCGGCACTCAAGGCTTTTTCAATCCAGACAAATTCTCTTTAATCCAAATCCACCATCAACGTTTCAGCTCCTCATGGAGCTTTCACCAGGACATAAATCACAAGTAAAATAAAAAAGCTAATATAGGAAACAATTAATAAGAATACTTACATTCCTCATTCACTCCTGCCGCCAAACTTGCACCGGTCGCTAGCCCGGAAGTGCATTCACTTCCTGGTTTCCACCCACGTGATCGGGAGAATGAGAGTTTCTATTGGTTACCCGGACCTCGTCTCTAGGCAACTGGGGACTCATTTGTCTCCTTAGAACCTCCCATCTGTACGGGCACCATTAGGAACCAAAATTCTAAACCCTCATTAATATTAGACCATTGCCATAGCAACCGGGCAACAGTCTGATCGGCGAAAAGGAGCATAAATTAGGACACAAGGACAGAATATTATATTTCTCTAAGAGACACATGATTAAATATAGTACAAATAATATAATAATATTCAAATAAAAGTGATGAAGGGAACTAACTACAGCTCCTATGTAGACATCTAATATAAGTGAATATGATATTCCCCTGATAACCATACTACTGCCAAATTAACCATGTAAAACCTGGCATGTGCAATTCATTATTAATAAAGTTCAAATACACAAAAGTGTCTAGTGCTATATTATCTAAATATATATTCAATACAAAAAAATAATTTTTTTATTATGTGCAAATAATTAAAAGTGAAACTAAAGTGCATATGTGCCTAAATCAGTATAGACTATATATAAAAAAATTATCCTTAGATGTTACTAAACATTGTGTCTTCAAATATAAACCTTTTAATCTGTCAAAGTGTCTTATTAGGTCATATGTATTCAAAAAATTCTTTTTTTTTAAATTAAAAAACAGTATCGAAAAAATAGATTACACAAATATTTGGTATATATATTTTTAAGGATCATCACCCTATTATTATAACTCTGAACCACCTATCATATAAAGGCTGAAAAAGAGCATTTTTCATTCAGACCCCTAGGTGAAAGGGTGTCAAGCTGTACAATCCAGTAGGTTTCCCTCTGTAGAAGAAGTCTACCACGGTCACCCCCACGGATCGGTATCGGGATATGGTCAATCGCAACACATCTCAGGGATGATAGCTGATGTTTTAATTCCAAAAAATGTTGGGCCACCGGCTTATCCGACTGGCCATCATGATAGGCCAGGCGGATACCCTAATTCTCTCGCAGAGTGCTGTCTCCGTCTTGCCAATGTAGTTTAGACCACAAGGGCAGGTCAACTTATAGATCACAAAGTCACTTCTACAATGAATTCGATGTTGAATTCTATAGACCTTACCCGTATATGGATGGCTAAAGGTTTTGGCAGGGATTATGTGTCCACACGTGACACATCCCAAACACCCCACATTCTTACTACTACCAGTAGCAGTTTCATAACAATGTTGGGGGTCCGTTTTTACCAACATGTCTCTCAAATTCCTATTTCGTCGGTAACAGAACAAAGGTTTCTGGCGAAAGTTCTCTGGAAGAGTAGGGTCCATTGCTAGAGTATTCCAATTTTTCCGAATGGAAGAAGTAATCTCTGTACTTGCAGTATTAAACTGCATTGGAAAAATGAGTCTGGTATTCGTTGCTCTACCTATTCGTACCTCAGATGTAGAGTGTGTCATTTTTGCTCTCTTAAGAGCCACTTCAAGTATGCTCCGTGGGTATCCTCTGGTCCAAAATTTCTTGTACATGGCTTCTAATTGAAGATTGCATTGCTGACTAAGGGAATTATTACGCAGTACCCGCAAGAATTGTGAAGAGGGTAAGGATGTTTTCAAATGTCTCGGATGGAAGCTATCAAAATGCAATATAGTGTTTCGATCTGTTGGTTTAGTAAAAAGTCTAAACTCCAGTTTTTCATCGATAATCATAATTTCAACATCAAGAAACTGTACACTTTTTTCATCAACGTGTGAGGTCATCTTCACCGGTGTTGGCAGTGTATTTAAACCCAATGTAAACTGAAGCGCCTCTTCCTTGGTGCCATTCCATAAAATGAGGATATCATCGATAAACCTAAAATATCGAGTGATATGTAGGTCATATCTTTGTAGAATATATTGCATCTCATATTGGTACATGTAGGCATTCGCATACATGGGGGCCATCGCTGCCCCCATTGATGTGCCTGCTATCTGTAAATACCAATTTACTTCAAAGCAGAAGTAATTATTCTGTAGAGCAATGTTAAGTAATTCCAGATTAAACTCAACCGACGGGCCATGGTAGTATTGTGAGTGGGTACGGAGATCTCTCATTGCCTGTACCCCTTCCTCATGTGGTATGATTGTATACAAACTTCCGACATCCATCGTGATCAAAATACCATTAAATTTTTCAACCTCTTTCAAACGTTGTATCAGGTCTGGAGTATCCTTTATGCATGTGGCCAAAGATGTAACTGGATCTTTAAATAAATCATCTAAAAATTTGGCTATTGGTTTTAAAAGCCTTTGGACTGCTGAAACGATATGACGTCCAGGAGGTTTTTCCAGATTTTTGTGTACTTTGGGGAGTGTATAAATTATTGGAGTTCGTGGATGTATTTTCTGCAAATATTGAAATAGCTCCAAATCTATATGTCCTGCTTGGAGTCCATAATTCAATATTTCCTCTATCTTCTTAGCAATAGAGCTGGTAGAGTCTTTATCCAGTTTCCTATAGGTCTTCGTATCATTCAGTTGTTGTCTAATTTCTGCCGCATACTCCTCATAATTTAAAACTACAATCCCCCCACCCTTGTCAGCTGGTCGAATTACTATCGTTGGATCTGAAGCCTGTAACGGACCGTTTTGCATACAAGGTGTTAAAACCATTTAGGCGATCTTCCCCTTCCAGAGACACAGGCACAGCTACTGCAGAACACCAATCCGCCGAACAGGAAACCATACGAATGCTGTAAACAGCCGAATAGGAAAAAAACTGGAACAGCATACAATAAATCCCCCCAAGAACGAGACAAAGCTCCGTGTTGAGGGTCAAGCAGTGAACAGACAGAGCTGTGGGTTTATTGTCCTTATGTACACATTCTTACACATTAGTACCACCCACAGGGTTTTGGAACACAACCAATAAACACATACAATACACTCAGACACTCCCACACAAATTCCTCCCCTCTGCATGTGATTCAATTACCTTACACAATGGGTAATGTAATTTAGCACAAGCAGAGAAATACAATTTTTCCACATTATTCATAACTTGAAAAGTATGCATCACATTCACATAAAACATCAGAATCAGCATACTCCAAATACAAACATACATCAAAATCATACAAATTGGTCCAGTGGTTCAAAAGATAGATCGTAGTCCTTTGTGACCACAGGAAGCATGGCTTTTCTGCCCAAAACCAGTTCCACAGAGTCTTCTAACCTGGAGATAATTAGAAGTAATCCAATTATCTCCAAAGACAGAGGCAAAACTCCATTGAACACATGGCAGCAAAAAGACAGTAAAATACAATAAAATACACAATGTTACATTTATGACAAAGTCTTTCCCATAGTCTTTCATTATATGAATGGGCTCCATGGCATAGCTATCTGGGGTATCACTGCTCAAACAGGGCAAGCACCAAATGACCCGGCTTTCTTGTCTTTGCAGGGGAAAATCAAGCCTTTTAACATGGGGCCATAATCCAAAGGCAACAGGCGAGCAACCAGGCTTCTCCAATGCAATGTGACGATATTGCTCTCGTCACAAAGCCAAATTCTTAATTAGAGCAAGATCGTCTCTAGACAGGTTATAGTGTTTAGGTCGATGGTTTTGTAGAACTGCTCCTGTTTCATATTTCACTGTTGAAAGAAAAGATTTAATCGCTACTTGATTTGTTGGAGGGTCAAACACGCTTTGTGTTCTAAATTTGTGCGTATTTTTTATATTGGAAGAATTTCCCATACCAGATTTAGAATTTTTTTAAAAATCTTTTAATCTCATATTACGGCCGAACTTAAACAGTTCCACTTCCCATTGGAAACCATTAGGAGGGGTTGTCGGAATGAAGGAAAGGCCTTTACTCAGAATATTTATTTCTGCTGGTGTGAGTTCTCATTTTGACAAATTAAAAATGGGAACTAATTGCGCCTCGGTGGTCTCCCTTTTGGACCAGTGGACTCGTCCTTTTTGTCCACGTCGGGTATTGGATCTTTTCCTTGTTTGAACATACTCCGTGTTACCGTTGTGGGTGGTTTCATCCTGTCTTGGGCAGGCCCCTCGTCTAAAAAATGAACTGATGTTCCAACTGGGTTTCTTTCTCCTTCTGACGCAGATTCCCCTGATGTTATGTCCACAATGGAAACATTCGGTTTCACTATTTTCTTACGGAATCTTCTTGGTCTTCCCTTATGTTCCCCCGAGAGCCATCTATAGACTGAGAACTCTTGGTAATCAAGCTGAACCCTTTCCATTTTTTGTCTTTTAAACTTAATCAATTGATTTTTATATTTAATTACTTCCTCATTTAATTTTAAAATTAAATTATTGCCCTCCTGTGTATTAAGTTGGAGCGCATATTCAGTTTCCAGATTTTGAATTTTTTTCCTAATTTCCACTAAATCCTCTTTGACATCTTGAATTGTTATTAGCATAAGATCCAGAGAACATTTATTAAGGACTGCTGTCCAATCTTTACAAACCCGGGCCTTAGTTCTACCAATGGTAGGGATATTTCTCACTCTAAACCCCCTAGGGATAGTCAGAACGAAAAATTCCATGAAGATCCAAATCCACTTCCTTCTTTTTTAACTTTAGGAGCTTAAAGTATATGTATAATGTTGTAGTCGTGGGTAATTCCAGACTGGAAGTACTCCATAATATCTCTTCAGCCTGTGCATCACTGAATTGAAGTGTATTAGCCTGAGAAGAACATGCACCTGCCTGAGACAGAAAGTCCTCCATAATTCCCGTATTGTAATGACCAATATAATGTAATGTTCCCAAATATGCTTAGATGGAAAAAGCCTTGAGTGCCGGTAATTTTTTGGATATATATATAAATGAAAAAAACTGTAAAAATATATTTTTTAAAATGATATATATATATATATGTAATTTTATTCTAACTGTATTTTGATAATTATATATACATATATATATATATATATACACACACACACACACACTTAGAATGAAATTATATATATATATATATATCGATGTATATCCTCTTAACGACCGTGGACGTACTATGTACATCTGACAAATAAAAAAATGGTCGTTAAGGACCGCGGACGTACCTAGTACGACCACAGCAAATTGGAGCCCTGGACTTACCTGGAATGGTGATCTGTGGTGATCACGGATGGGGGGGACTGCCGGAGATCCCAGCAGTCCCCCTGCAGCAGCTCCAGGGCCATGTGATCACCATGATCACATTGCCGCAAAAGAAGTCTAAGAGCTGCCAGGAGGGGAACTGTTTGAGCTGTCAGACAGTCCCCCAGGCTGCTAAAAAGTAAAAATATAAAATGAATATATTATACATATGTATAATATGTTATAAAATAATTAAAGCATTTTATAATATATTATACATATAAAATGCATATATATGATTTCATTTAAGTGTACTTTGCGATATATACACATATATCTCAAAGTACACTTATAATGTAATCATATATATGCATTATATATGTATAATATATTATAAAATGCTTTAATTATAACATATTACACATATATAGGAGATAAAAGTGTGTGTTTATCTATCTATCTATATATATATATACACACACACACACACACACACACTCTCACATATACATATTATATACACACGTATTATATGTATATGTGTGTGTGTTTATATATATCTATATATACACAGTGTTCAAGTAGAGATTGTAGCCGTATTAGTCCAGTGATGTAGATGTAAAAAACAGATAAAAAATTCGTATCTTGTAATACCTTTTTTTATCAGAAAAACAGAATTTTTTAATGACAAGCTTTCAGGAGAACATCCCTTTCTCAAGTCTGAAGCATTTCTGAGCAAGATGACATATAGAATTCTAAGTTGAGTTGCGATACAGGGGTTAAAGTGACATGAGGGCAGATAAGACACAGGTTTGTTAGAAAATAGACAACATTCTTGCAAAGGGTCATAAATATCTTTCTGAAGAGCACAGTGAGGGGGGAGAGGGAGCTTTCCCATACTCTTATGCATGTATGCTTATATCTGTGACTGTGCATTTATATTTGTGTATAGGAGTTCATGTATATGTATGTATATGTGTTTATGTGTATGTATGTGTAGAGAAAACTGGTATACCTAAAGAGATATACAGAATAGAGGGAATCTAACTAACACTGGAAATAGTAGGAATTCACCAAAACCTATGTAAATAAAATAGCAAAGGAAACAGCCTGAATAATAGTGTTAAGCCCAGGAGCTAACTTGTGATAATGGCTCGGCTGTATTTTTAATTTTTATGTTATTTTAACATTTGTTTGCAGGGCACTTGTCCTCCTCTTACCCCCATTTTACTTCCTTTTGCAGCTCTCTAGCCCTTTCCAGGAGTTTTTTAGAGGCATTTTTGTGGCCAAAACTTCGGGTCCCCATTGACTTCAATGAGGTTTGGGTTCGGGGTCAAGTTCGGGGTCAAGTTTAATCACGAACCCGGACATCCAGGTGTCCGCTCAACTCTAGTGTTAAGCCCAGGAGCTAACTTGTGATAATGGCTCAGATGATAGTTGAACTAATATAATAGAATGACACAATAAATAGTGGAATATATGGACAGATAAAGGATGGAAATTTAAAAATATGCAAAATCTAAAAGTCTAAAAAATTCGGTACTATGCCTTTAAATATATGAACAAGGATAAAAAAAAAAAAATAAGAAAAAAGTAGAGAAAGGAACCATATGTACAGCAGACAAAAAGTGAAAAAAATTGTATAAATGATATAAAGATATAAGAATAAATTTGAAAAAAAACTGGATGAATATGCAGCAAATCAATGTGCAATGTTTGTATCTCTATCCCTGACACATGCATATCACCACTCACAGCTTCAACATGGATGCTGTCCAGGAGGTGGGAGGGTCTGGGAGGGAGGGTCTGCCGGAGATTGGCAGGGATGTGTCAGCTGACCGGGGTTCGTGGC